ACCACCAGCAGCAGCAGCAGCAGGAGCAGCATGTCAGAGAGTAGCACCAAATCATGAGTGTACGGATGCCCGATGGTACCCGTCGGCAAGGAGTATGAATGCCACTCGGGGAGTTACGCTGTTGATTTTGCCCCAAAACAAGATTCAGAATGACAGGAATGCCTTAGAGGTCATACTGTATGAGTACGCCTTGTACTCCCTGCGGATAAAGAAACAAATGCAAAGAAGACTTGATTACGCTGACCAGCCACCTGACCGTCCACGTTGAGGCCACGCTTTCGATAACCTTCAGGAACCATTCGGAAACTGATAGTTGTTGGCATAAACTGTTGTGCAAGACCGTGGGTGCTCTTGGCTCTTGACGGACAAAAACCCAGCAAGAACCTGTAAACCCCAAGCTCACCCTACCCTACCTAAGGTCATCCAGGATTGTTGCCCCGTGACGATATAAGGTAGGGTTTTAGAGAACGGTCCAAAATCCAGACAAAAACTTGAGTCCATATTGCTATGAAGGGCAGACCAGCAAACTTTGCCATCTCAACCCGAGCAACGTGTTCCGGCATAGAATCGGGAGCGCCTTGCGATAAGTGCCACCTTGCAGGGGCGCCTGTAAAAAGAGGCTACAGGGGGGGTATATACATAGATAGATACATACATATATATATATACACACACATATATACATGTTCATGTGTGTGAATGGTTTCTCAAAATATGAGGGGATACCCTTAGGACCCCATCTACGGGGAGATCATAGGCGGTCCTTGTTAAGGATCCTGTAGGGATTCTTTTGAGAGATGCTCATGTAGAGCTTAGGGATTTAAGATTTAGGATTTTGAGGAATGGGAAAGAAGCTGCAACTGGTATGTTGAGTTCATAGTCATATTAAACATACCACGACCGCACCTGATATTAAATCGGCTCCCCACTGTATGTGTTTTTGATCTTAGGGAATGGGGAGTTCTAAGATTACAATATGAGGGAATGAATAAGTATAGGGCTAGCAGAGAATCGGACTGAAGCATGTTCCCCTAACTCCTGGCTTGAAACGGAAGACCCTCCCTCAAATCGACATAAAACCCCTTATCGCCCCCCAGGTTCTCCCTTGAACGCAGGGACCTTTCACATGGGAGCTACAGTTCCCCTAGTCAAGTGAGCCGAGCAGAGCAGGTCGTATATAATTAGCCCATTCCCCCTGACACAAAGCACGTCTCTACCCCCCAAAATATGAAATACCCCCGGCTTACGCATACACATACACAAGTGGGAAGCATGCTTGTTATCCTATCATGGCAAAAAGTTAGAAGCTTCGACCCCGCCCAGCTGATCCCGCGACCTCAAAGGTCCAGCCAAAAGACGAGCACTTTGTATGGGCAAAGAACCCGTGAATGATTGAAAGGCACCAGTGTTGCCAGCCCTCTTTGGCAAAAAAGGGGGTCATGTGGTAGTGGTTCCAGACAAAGCGGTGATGCTTAGAAGCATCCTTCTCCACGTATAGTGGTCTGAGCTGACATCCCCCGGCACCTTTTGCATCTGCCAAGTTCTGCTGAACCGTTCGACTTAGCTCGTAGGAATAGGAGAAGTAAAAGTCTTTCGACAAGTCAAAGTTGTTGAGCTGGTCCTTGAAAGTTTTCTCCTCCCTCTTTCCTGTGTCACTGAAGAGTGGAACCAACGTCGTGGATTCGATCGACAGAACATGATGATGACCAATCTTGCCAACCTTCTTGTGAGTCCGGATCAGTATGAGGTAGTAGCCACAGGTGAAGCGGATGAACCTCTAGTCTCCAAAACGAAGAGAAAATGTTCAGACTCTTTGTCAAGACGCGCCAAAGGGCCGCCAAAAAACATGCTCGAGCTCTTGAGCCCAAACCCCTATGTTGGTTCCTACTTGGTGTCCCGGGATATTCTTTACTTTGGAATTTTCACTGTAAAGCCGATGACTACAATGAACGCACCAGCCGGAAAAATCTGAGCATATGCTGAGCAAGCGGCCCAACCAAACCAGAAGCCTTGGTAGCGAATTCCTGGGCTTCTGCTCAGGAACTTTTCAAAATGTACTAGGGTTTAGGGATATAGGGGTTATAGGGGTTATATAGGGGTTATATACTAAGGAAGCCCATTGTCTACTATATACCCTT